ATATATTCATATATATCAATTGTTTATCTTTGCCCTTTTATTAAGGTCTTAGTGGTAGTCATTTATATTTGAATAAATTGTTAGATATTGAATCTTCATATTATATTTATTTTAGTAATTTTACTGTTGCTTTGCTTCAGAAGAACAGAAATTACAAGTTTCTTTTTAAAAAGCCAAGGATTTTATTTTATTTTATTTTATTTTGAAAGTATACAACAGAACAAGTCAGAATAAAGCCAACTAAGAATCGTACAGTGAAATTGGTACAGAACTTCACAGCAGGTTACCGGGATAACAGTAATACGTATCATAGTATATTTTGTTATCTTTATAATAGTTGTTCTTTCAATCACGTATATCAAAATGAGATGAAATATAGAACACTATAGAACTTATCAAAACAAAATACTGAATAGAGCAGTACCATTAATCAGAAAAGAGCAAAACAGTAATAAAAATATTTGCCTTCAAAGAAATGGTAGACGGAAGTCCCCCTTATTTGCTATGGTCAACCTCCCAGGAGACGCTCAGATTTCTGGTTTCCATTTGCTAATGGGGGGGGGGGGAGAAGGAGGAGGATAGGGGAAGTGGGATATTTGACTCTAGGCCATGTAGCAGTAGGTCACTATTGCTAAGCAGGGAGGCAGGATGTCATTTGTTTTCACAGCATCCTCAGTTCCAGCATGGTGTGGATCTCAGGAGACACTGCTGGTCCTCCCCCTGGAAGGGCTGCAGTCTGCCACCCTGCCTCCGCTTACCAGGGAGGGGAGGTGCTGGCTTGGCTTCCCAGAGTCCTAAGTTCCAACATGGCGTGGATCTCACAAGACACTGCTGGTTCTCCCCCTGGAAGGGCTGCAGTCTGCCACCCTGCCTCCGCTTACCAGGGAGGGGAGGTGCTGGTTTGGCTTCCCAGAGTCCTAAGTTCCAACATGGCGTGGATCTCAGGGGACACTGCTGGTTCTCCCCCTGGAAGTGCTGCAGTGGGCCACACTGCCGCCGCTTACCAGGAAGGGGAAGTGCTTGCTTGAAAGCCAAGGATTTTCAACAGTCTGAAAATTTAATAGTGGCCATTCCCATTTTTGATTATCTACCTAAGTATCTGTGCTAGGGATCGAGCTCAAGGCCTCATGGATGCTAAACATGTAATACTGAGCATGTAAAACAGTATTTTACACTTTTAGTGGAAAAATGACGCACTTACATATAGTCTACAAATAAATATTGAATTTCATTTAGTATAAACAAAAAAATAACAATGTAAGTTAGTGAAATGTATTCTCTAAAATTTTTTTTTCTTGCTGCTGTTCATTGTTGCAGGACCATTAAAAAGGTACATATTTGGTATTTTTCTTACCTCTATTCAAAGTCACTTTGGAAAGACCAAAATTTGTCAATTTAATATGACCCTCATTAAAAATCAGTATATTGCCTGATGTCAAATCCCTGTACATAAAACAAAAGGCAAATAGATAACTAAAGAAAAGACTAGTTTTATTTTTTAAAATTTTTTTTGTTTTTTTTTGTAACAAGTTCTTGCTATGTAGTTCAGGCTGGTTTTGAACTCACAGCAAACCTCCTGCCTGCACCTCCTGAGTGCTCAGATTACAGGCATGCACCACTGTGCCTAGTGAAAATCTAGGTGTTTTGTTTTGGAGACAGGGTTTCACAGTGCAGTTCAGTCGGGCCTTGAACTCACTTTGTGGCGCAGGCTGGTCTCGAACTTGCAACAATCCTCCTGCCTCAGCCTCCCAAGTGCTGGGATTTCAGGCATGCACCACCACGCCCAGCTGAAAATCTAGTTTTAATATTAAAATAGCTGAGAAAAAAAAAAGAGTTATAGAGGAGGCAAATTCTATTTATTTCCTCTAAAATAAATGTATTTATTAGTGGCTTTGCAAACAATGGGAGAACTTTCAAAAGAAGCTCTTTGGTACATCTGAATCCACAAAATGTTAAATGATTTAATTTTAGATTATCTGTGACATTGTTATATTTTCCATGAAAAATAAATCACATTACATAAAATAATCCACAAGCCAGTTCAAAATTGTGTATCTTCTTTTCTGTTAATGTAAGATTAAGCTTTAACAGAGCAGAGTAACTTAACCTTTCTTTGCACAGAACAAAGTAGTGTAAATCAGCTAGGACTACACAGTATGGAACTTTTGTATGAGGGCAAAAGAGTGGAAAAGAACTGAAATCTTTCCACTGAAATATTATGTTCATATTCAAAATAACATAATTTCAAACACAGGGAGACAAAACAGTAGGTAAGAGAATTTCTAAACTCACACGAGTTACTATTAAACCTTAATCTGGAAATATGGGCAAATGGTTACAGTAAATATTTGATATCCAAACATTTAACACATAATTTGATTTACCTCTGGATGATTTCATGTCTATGAAGTTAGTTGAGAGCCAGCCCTACTTCAGAAATATACTTCACAGCCATCTCTTCATCAAAATAAGCATATATATGAAGAAGAGACTTGACATCTCCACCAAAAAGATATTCCATTACCTATTAAAAAGAATTTAATAGCATGAAATAAAAATATGCTTACTGGGCCAGGGATTTAGCTCAGCAGCACAAGTGCCTGCCTGGCAAGTGCAAGGAGGGTCATGAATTTGATCCCTGGTACCAATAAATAAATAAATACATACATATATATATATATATATATATATATATGCTTATAGAGTATTTGGGCATTACAGTATAGTTGTGTAACAAAGCACATTGGGGGGGGGGGTCTTTTCTTGAGTCAGTGTTGCTGTGTGCAGTTCAGGTTGGCCTTGAGATCACTTTTGTAATTGAGGCTGGTCTTGAACTCACAAGGATCCTTCTGCCTCAGCCTCCCAAGTGCTTCAATTATAGGCATGTGCCATCACTCCTGGCTATAAAACACAAAGAGTGGACAGACAGCTTCAAATACACTGCTGCAAAGATGAAAAGATTGACATAGGACATATTTCAGCCTGCTCTTTAAATAAAAGCACATTCCAGATTTCACAATAGAAAATGTGAAGAGAAAAAGGAAGCTTGTTTAATGAGATCTTTGGTTGTACAGCAGCTTAAATACTGATTTATTTGCAAATGGATAGAATTAAATGTAACCAGCAAGCGTGTGTTGCAAACTTAAATGAAAACCCTAAACTTAAGCCTGGTAAGGGTCAAATTAGTGAAAAGCGTCCAGAAGATACATGAAATGAATAGATAATACTAACGTTTAAAATTTTTAGAATAAAGTTATCAGAAAATAATGAAGCTCCCGCCTGGTTAGGTCAAACTTCAAATCAGTGCGACAAACTAATCATTTTGCTGTGATAGAAAAATTTCAGCAATCTGTATTCCGAAGCAAGCGACAACCACCAACTACTTAAAACTTTTTGGATTCAGAAATATCACTCTGCTGTGGGTTAGACATGAATAAGAGCAGCGGCTTCAAAAGTTCCTTTGCCCGCAGTTTCCTCCTTCGTTAACACTGGACCGGGCGAATATGGTCAGGTGTTGCTATTTTCCCTGGGCAGTGGATGATTCCTAAGATACGGAGAGAAAGGCAGGGCAGAGGCCAGACACCTCACCGACTGCTGCGGCCAGCCCAAAACAAACAGTCGGCTCTGCAGGCTTCAGCAAGCCCTGCGGCCCCCAAATCAGGGGGCAGAAAAGAAGACGGAAGGACCTAACTCCCTTTCTCGCCTCTTCCCACACTTCCTACCTTGACTGCGTACAACTTGTCGCCTTTCTGCCCCAGATACACTTTCCCGAAGGCACCACGACTAATGGGCTTCACTATGGTGAATTCTTCAATGGAGGGTGGTCTTGGAACCGGGATTGTATTCATCCACTCCCCGGTCGCCGTGCCTTCTGTATACTCCTTGCTCCCGGCGGAGGGCTCCATCGCAGGACAGGCCCTGGACTCTCCCTCAGCCTCGGCTCCCGCCAACTGCGTTCAAATTAAGGCCACGCCTACTGCGCGCGCAAGAGTGACGTCACCGCGGTGCCGCGCGCGACCTAAGGCAGCCCCGCCCGTGCCGCCCCAGAGCCGCGCGAGCCGATTCCGCGAGCGCCGAGGTGCGGGCTAAGCCGCTGACCTCTCGAGGGCGGTCGCCACCGCCCACTGACATCATTTGTCATGAGGGACGAGGCACAGACAGTTGTTGGAGAAGAGTGGGGCAGCTGGGACCCCGAGACCCGAATCACGGGTTGTATGATGCGATTGCTGCGCGACTGCGGGATCCGTCCGGGCCGGAAGTTCCCCCTCCCCGGCGGCTGCCAGCCCCGCCCCGCGAGACGCCCGCGTCAGCTGGGCTGTCCCCCAAAGCTTGGCCGCCCTGTGCGAGTCTCGGGAGAGGGAGACGCTAGACGTGCAGGACGCGTTGACCCAGTCTAGTGTGATATTCCAGGATAGAATTCGCCTGACGTGAACGGACAAAGGCCTACAGGGAAACCTCCGATTTATCGTGAGGAAAAGAGTACACTACATTGTAGCAACCAAACGCTGTTAGCTCGCGGCTCAGCTGTGACGAGGAAATACGGTGAGAATGTGATAAGGAAGCTGGAGGACGTCTGAGAAAGGAGAAGTAGGGTGAAGCCCTTTCCTTAAAGTGAAAACACACAGCCGAGGGGCTTGGGGATCCCATTGCTTGCCAACACTAAAGCTCGGGGCCGCCTGCAGACGCACGGCGCGCCCGTGCCCCGGAAGTGATGTTGCGTCCGCGCGTTGGCTTCCGGGGCAGCCTGCAGTGGTAGCAGCCGTAGCGGGAGGCGGCCATTTTTGTTGCTGGGTAGGGAGAGGGGCTGGGTAAGAAGAAAAAGGATTTAGGGACGGGCGCAGCGCCTCCCTACCGGGCCGAGGACGGAAGGACAGTTTTGGCTGGCGAGAGGGGTTGCTGAAGCCCGGAGGACATGTTTTCCCTGTCGAGCACGGTGCAGCCTCAGGTGAGCCCGGCCCGTGGCCGGTTTCCAGTTGCTTTCGTAGAATATGTTTCTGAAGCGAACCGAAGAGGGAAGTGATAATCCCACGCGAGTTCTGCGGGTGAAAGTGGATAGAGCTGAGAGTGGGGCCTGAAAGCTGCCAACGAAGCATTTGGGGGCGGAGGCGTGATATAAGCGTGATGGGGACCGTGGCCTACCGGGTTGATCGCGTGAGATTTCTGCCCGAGAATCCGTCGAGCATTGTCCCAATCACGATTTCCGGAGTGGGGGTTGGGGCTATGGCTGTGCCTTGTTTACAGAGGGAGCAGGTAATGTTCTTTGTTTCCGACTCTTTTCCTTTTCAGTAGAATTTTAAACCGAATATTCTGTAATTTGAATAACTACCTTAAGTTTTTCTCTTTTTGGTTTGAAATAACATAAAGATTAGTAAACTTCCCGCATTTTGAATTTTGATTCAGCTTCATCTCCATCTTTTTGTAAAGCAAAAAAAAAAAAAGCAGGGAAAAATGATTTTTGGGAGCGCTCTATTACCCTTTTCCAAGAATAATCACTTGTGACAATGCTTTGTTCTTAATTCACTTCAAAAGTCTTTTTTGGGTGGTACCATTTTGATAGATTTCATTTTTTCTTGAAAGTGCTCACAATTAGCAGACAGGTATTTTTTGAAACCCTTTAAATTTTGTTGTTTAAATTGACACCCTTAACTTTAAGAGTATGGTTGTGTTTCTTTGTTTAGAACTCTGTGATGCTAGTAGAGTAATGACTGGATAATAGCAAACGTTGTGTTTGTTGGGTAGTGGGTGAACAAAGCAAATGTAGAATCTTTTATTAGTTAGTTCAATGAAGTAAAGAGGAGTAAGAACTAAGTGACAATGAGCAGTTATCTTAGACTTAGAGCAGGGTGTCAGAAAATTCTCGGGGAGCAAAGAGTTTTATAGATTGGAGGAACAAAAAAGACTAATTTCGCTGGAACATTAGTGATTAAAGGTAGCAGTGTCAGGCATTAGATTTGCAAGAAGCCTTAAGAGAGTTTGCGTTTCTGCTTCATTTTAAGCCCATTAGTTACGGAGAACTGGTCTTGCTGTGCAGTTCATGCTGGCCTTGAGCTTACAGTGTAGCCCAAATAGTCTCAGACTTGAATGATCCTCCTGCCTCAGCCTCCCTAGTAGTTAGGATCACAGGCAAGATTTTCAATTTTTACTAGATCACTCCGACTTCTTCCCATGTGGAATATGAGAGGGCAAGAGTGGAACTGTTAATTAAGGATGGTATTGCAAGAATCCAAGAAAGGAATCTTGCCCTACTCTTCGTGGCAATGATTATGAAAAGAGACAGTTTCATGAGAGACAGATGTTTCTGGTTTGATCATCTGGCATACAGAGGAGAAGGTGCTGTGTACTGAGATGATAGTGTCTTGAGGAGTCTTGGCATTTGTTTGAGAAAAAGTGTGACATGGCCTGTTCACATCAAGAGTGCCCAGTTTTCTCTCTCAGCTGCGTGGAGAGTTAGTGCTTTGTGGTATTGATAGCGATGGCAAAGTGAGTTTGTGTCCTCTTGGCAATCTTGACTGGGCTTTCATTACCCAAAGACACATATTTTACCATAAATTTTATACTTTTTCTCTTCTATAGTAACATAGGTATTTATAATTTTAAAAAGATCATCTGATAGTTTGTTTTGTTTATATAGCAGTATATCAGGGGTTGAAGAAGGCCTGTGTGATGAGGTGCCTTTTAACTGGAATTTTCAGTTGCATTCCCTGGGTTAGAATTCTTTCTTATGCCAGCTGTGTGACCCTAGATATGCCACTAATTTTACCTGCATTCCTACAGTCTTCCTCTGTTAAATGAGAAGTATCTTAGTCTGTATCAGCAGCAGAATACCTTAGCCTAAGCAATTTAGGTAATGTGCAGAAATTTATTGCTTCCCAGTTTTGGAAGCTAAGAAGTCTGTTACTAAGGTGCCAACGTCTGACAACATGGTAGAAGAGTACCAGAGCAAGAAGGGAGAATCTTTCGGTGATAACTCTTCTTAAAGATTTTAAAAGCAGGATGTGATGGCACATGCTTGTAGTCCTAGCACTCAAGAGGCTAGGAGAACTGGTCTTGCTGTGCAGTTCATGCTGGCCTTGAGGCCAGCCTGGGCTGCAAAGTGAGTTCAAGGACAGCCTGGACTGCATAGTAAAACCTTGTCTCAAAAAGACCAAAAAAAAGTCTTAAAGTCTTCTTAATATATTTAAATCACAGGAAAATTATAATGGTGACTAATTTTTATGATTATTATGACGATTAAATGAGATGAGTAAAACATTACAAGACATGGTTTTTAGATCCCATTTAACTTACTCGGTTATGCAAATATTGTTTCTTAAACATTGCTCTGTTTTGCTGGGATACAATATTGAATAAAATTGAAAAAATGTTACAATATAGAAAAATTCTTATTCTGCATGGAATTTACTTTCTAGTTGGAGACTGGTAAAATAAAAATAAAATGTTTCTCCATAATCTCTGTGGTCTTCCTGGCACAGAGTTTCTAAAATTGTTACAGTTACTTGAATTACTCCTAATTCATGATCTTTTGTTGATCACATCAGTGTTGAAGCAAATTGAGATGACTTGAACTTTAAATAGCCTCAGAATGGGACTAGGAACCAAAAAGACTAAGTAACTAGGGAATGTTCTTCCATTCTCATACCTGGAGAGGAAGAAGGGCAAGGCTGGAGTTTCAGCTGTATTAGAAACTATTTTTGTTTTGAGACAGAGTCTCTCTGTGTAGTTCAGGCTAATCTTGAACTCACTATGTAGTCCAGGCTGATCTTGAAGTTAGCATGATGCTCCATCCTTAGCCTCCTAGTGATGCAATTACAGGTGTGTGCACCATCATGCCCAGCTTCCATTAGAAACTCCTACACCAGGAGATGGAGCTGGTATGGCGAGTGGCTGGAAGCAGGAACCTTGTACAAGAGATTGTTTTATAGTTTGCCTGATGTACCTTTTCATTTGGCTGTTCATTTCTGTTTTGTAGTGTAGACTGGTAAACGTAGTATTTTTCTGAGTTCTTTGAGCCAAGTAATCAAACTGGAAAGGATTGTTTATAACTGGTTGGTCAGACATGGTTGGCCTGGGAATCATTGCAGACATTTGAACCCGGGGCAGTGTTGTGGAACTAAGCTCTAACCTGTGGGTGGTTTGGGTGCCATCTCCCAGTGGTTAATGTCAGATAACTAATGATGTCAGACAGACAGCTAATAATAGTGTACAGATAATTAAGTAAATATATGTGAAGTATTACTGAAAAGTGTCAAGAAGATAAATAGAGCCGAGAAACTGGGTAGGAAATAACCTTTTAGGAGAAGATTGTTGAAATACTAGGGTGGGTAGGGGACTTTAGAACGTGAGCTGAAGGGAAAATGAGAGCAAGTTGTGTTCTGAATGGCAGTGCAGAGGCCTGGGGGAGCCTGTTGGTGTTGCAGGAAGAGCAAGAAGCAAAGAAAAGAGAGAGGATTTGATGGGTCACATTTGTTAGAACTGGCTTTTTCTGGAAGTAGAAGAGAAGCTGTTGTGGGGTTTTGAGCAGAGGAGTGATACAAACAGATTGGTTTAAATATGGTCTCTTTAATCCTGCACTAGGAATATATGCAGCCACATAAGGGCAGAAGCAGTGACTTTGGAACAGTTGCAGAAATTCACACGTAGATGGTGGGGATTTAGAACAAGATGGTGATTGGGAAGGAAAAGCATAGAATTCAGAGAGTGTTTATGGTTAACTTTTTTTTTTAATATTAGGGAAGTATTTCACTCTGTGACAGTGTCATATATTTTACAATTCTTCTAATGGTATATTTCCCCAGCTATTGAAGAATAATATTGGTTGGGCATGGTGGTGCATGTCTGTAATCCCAGCACTTGGGAGGGTGAGGCAGGAGGATCTCTATGAGTTCAAGGCCTGCCTGAACTGTAGGCCAGTCTGCACTACACAGTGAGACCCTGTCCCCAAAACCACCTCCTCAAAAAAAAGTATTAATAAAAATTACTTCTAGGGGCCAGATGTGGCTAGAATTACTCCTGTAATTCCAGCACCTGGGAGGTAGAGGCCAGGAGGATCTTGAGTTAGAGGCCAGTTTGGGCTACATAATGAGTTCAGGGTTCAAGGACTACATGTATATGATAATACTTTTGATTCATAGATCAAAATTAATAAACCTGAAAGTAGTAAATGAGTGCTTGTTGTTTTTAACATGTAACCTGTATGCTTGTGGAGGAATAGTACTGGGATCAAACACAGGGCCTGGAGTGTGCTAGGCAAGTGCCCCACCACAGTGCCCCACCTCCAGCTCAAAATACAGTTTTACTATTCAGCATATTTTTAACTTTTTTTTTTTAAGAGGGTAAAACAAAACAGAATAAAGCAGATCAGAAGAAAGCAATGTAAGTGACACAGGATTTCAAAAAAGAAAACAGGAGACAATAGTGGCCACCATAAAGTCTTGGCATTCAGCTAGTTGTCTATCTTGATACACAGTGAATTCATACAAAACAAAATAGTAGAAAAGTGATCAAAACAGGATAATGAAAGCATTACAGGCCTTCAAAACCAGACAATAGGAAAATCAGCAATGGCTTCCATAATGTGTCTTGTTCTCTTCAAAATAACTGTCGCGGGGCTGGGGATTTAGCTCAGCGGCATAAGCGCCTGCCTGCCTTGCAAGCAGGCAGTCATGAGTTCAATCCCTGGTACCGATAAAAACGAAAAAAAAAAAAAAAAAAAAAACAAAAAACTGTCGCTACCTTCATATATGTTCAAATTAAATAATACAAAACAGACTAAAACCACTCTAAACAAAGAATAGAAACATTACTGGATTTCACAGCATGACAATAGGAAATCAGCCATTGTTACCATAATGTCTCTTTTTCTTCAAAGTAGCTGTTTAGACCTTCACGTATAATACAATCAGTGCTGGTAAACTGCTTAGAAAAAGTTCTAGGTATGTATAAGCCTCTACATGTACATCTGTCCTTTCTGCGTTAGAGGGAAAAACAAATTACTAAGGAAACAGGAAACAAAAAGGACAACAATAGCAAAGAGCCCAAAACAATGACCTTCTAAACAAGGTGGTAGGAACATAACTAAGTATCTTAGTTACCTTTTACTCCTTGCTGAAACAAAATACCTGATGCCCAAAGTTAGGGAAGGAAAGGTTGGAAGTTTCAGTTCATAAGGAGTTGGCTCCAAGGCAGCATAGCATGGTGGGGCAGGCATTCATGGCTGCTACAAACAGCAAGAGCCAAAGCAAAAAAGACAC